AGGAGTTGGTTTTAAAACCCTTCGTCGCAATATACATGGAGCTTCCACAAGCCGCTCCGGCCGAGTGCGCCAGCCATACCTCTCGCGAGCCCCTACGATAGGATAGGGCCTACGCGAGGCACGACTTACCTGCACCTTACGGGAGTTGTCACCTCCCTTCGGTGGGCGTATCCCCGCCGAGCTACCAGCCCACAGTAGTCAGTTGCAATCGCAGAGGTGGACCAGCCGAGGGCGTTTCTCTTTCGCTGTAGCATAGGGGGTACGCGCGGTAATACGCCTCTATCGAACCCGCATGCGAATCGGCATCTTGGGAGGGCTGAGGTCCCAATCGCGACCCGTCGCCGGTCGACTAGGACGAATCCCACACACCACGCGCACTCCACTTTACGAATACACATGCACACAAAACAACACATATACGAGACGACACAACACAAACAACGCGACAACGCTCCTAGCCCCTTGGTAGCCAACCCATAACTTTCCAACGCGGAAATCGAATAGGCGTCGCGCGCGAGACTAGGTATAAAATCGCGCGGACGCAGGGCTATTGCATATCAATTCGCAATGCAATTGTACGCAAGCAGTCGCAATGAAGGCGTACTATGTAGTGCCCATAATCAAGCGGCCCCTCGTGAAATCGAGTACCGCTTATGACACTCGAGTGTCTGACTTGAAGTGTCGTGAGGGCCTAACCCTTCATGACATTGCACGACTGAAGGAATAGCCGTGCAGCCGCCGTGACACCTCCGGCTCTTGGCCTGAGTGTCTCGGTAGGCAAATCAAATAGGCTCTGCACGAGGGAAAACCCCTCCCCTGCAGAGCCTAGGGCTTGGGGTGTCCAGGACAAGGACCTCGAATCCCGGCCCAGGACCAAACGTCCGACTAAGAAAATCATCAAAAAGCAGGAACAAAAATAGAAGTGGGGGCCTCCCCTAAATTCCTCAGTCCCAGCTTATGAGTGAGGCTTTAATATGGGGACTCTTCAACCTATGCAAACATTCATCCCAAGTATACCCATGTATACGTATATAAGGGTTAAGTATGTGACAATCACTTTTCACGGTTTCACTGGGGTTTCTCTCAATAATACGTATATGTGTGATCGCAGGCAACCAAATCCAGAATCTGACTCACAACACGTATCTGCAGTCACATCAACGAACCAAATCAACAACCCACACATTACACGGAGTCAATCCCAACCACCTTCGACACTCATACCCCTCGCTTTAGCCATACAAGCCCCAAAACCTCCTGTCCAACCAACCTTAATTAAATACTCAGTACCTTTGTTAGATGGCCATTCAATAAAAGTCTGGGTGAAAACCTTAATAAAACAACGAAGATCACCAGGGCTAAAGCCTTTTAGGTTGAGTGTAGAGGGAGAGTTGAAATTGAGTCGTAGACCGACGAATCGGCAACCGACCTGTTATCAGTGATAACAGAAAGTGATCCTCAAAAGGATCAAGCTGGATCTAGCCCTGAATTTGGAAAAAAAGTCCTGTAACACACGGCAGACCAATCCCCAAGCTAAGATCATAAATGTATGGAGAATACAACTTCATAATTCATTCTTGCTCAAAATCTCCCTAAAAGCTAAACCTAAGCCTATTTTTAAGTCAATGCTTAGGCTTAGGGTAAACCAACTGCAGAATCTTCCTTATTTTGGGTGAGTTGCCTGAATCGCCACCTGTCAAAATATAGTCTATCTCCTTTAAACTAAGAAAATTTCAGCAGCGCTTTTCGTAAAAAAAGTGCCTTTCCAGAATTTATATAAGTCTAAATATAAAAAAAATATAAATAATTTCTAACTCTGGAAAGCCAAATTTTGTCTAACTCCCTGAATTAGTAGAAATTTGGGCAGCATCCCCTCTAGAAACGGAGACTTTCCAGATTTATATTAAGTCAGATATACAGCAGAAAAATAATCTCTAACTTCTGGAAAGTCAAAATTTGTCTTACTCCTTGATTTAGTAAAAATTTGGGCAGTATTCCCTTTACAAAGGGAGACTTCCCAGATTTATACTAAGTCAGGTTTGAACTCACAAGACAAACTTGAGTCCAATTTAGATAATATTTAACTAACTCCTCAGTTTTGCAGAAATTTCGGCAGCACTCCCTCTAGAAAAGTGCTATTCCAAAATTTATACAAGACTAAGTTCAGATTTTGAAAGTAACTTTGACTTCCCAAAGTTCAATTTTGTCTAACTCCCTGAATTAGCAAAAATTTGGGCAGCACTCTCTTTAGAAAAGGAGACTTCCCAGACTTTAACTAAGCCAGATATATGGAAAGGACAAGTTGAACTTTGACAAGTCAAAAGTTGACTAACTTCTTGGATTTGTAGAAATTTCGGCAGCGCTTCCCGTAGGAAAAGTAGCTTGTCAGATTTATACAAAGCCAAGTATAAGAAAAGATCCCAGAAAATGCAGGAATTGACACT